TGCTGTCCACCAGTGCCACCCACCAGTGCCACCCACCAGTGCTGCCAGTCAGTGCCACCAGTCAGTGCCCAGGGGTTGTGCCAGTCAGTGCCGCCAGTCAGTGCCCAGAAGTGATGCCAGTCAGTGCCGTCTATCAGTACCCATCATCAGTGTCACCTATCAGTGCCGCCTATCAGTGCTGCATATCAGTGCCGCCTATCCGTGACCCCTAATTAGTGCTGTCTATCAGTGCCGCCTATCCGTGCCACCTCATTAGTACTGCCTATCAGTGCCCTTTAGTGCTGCCTATCAGTGCCCATCAGTGCCGCCTATCAGTGCCCATCAGTGCCGCCTCATCAACGCAAATCAGTGAAGGAGAAAAAATACCTGTTTGAAAAATTTTATAAAAGAAACAAATAAACTTTTTTTTTTTTTTTCAAATTTTTTGCACTTTTTTTAATTTATAGCGCAAAAAGTAAAGCGCCCAGTGGCATTAAATACCACCAAAAGAAAGCTCTATTTGTGAGAAAAAAATGATCAAAATTTCATATGGGTACAATGTTGCATGACCGCGCAATTGTCAATCAAAGTGCGGCAGCGCTGAAAGCTGAAAATTGGCCTGGTAAGGAAGGGGGTATAAGTGCCTGGTAGGCAAGTGGTTAATCAAGCATTTCAAGTGGCTTTGAATAATAATCCTATGACATATGTACTAGGGTTCCTTGATAAAGAACTATATACGCCCCAAGCCAGAATCGTTAATAGTAGTAGACTTTTGTTTCTGGCACGTAAATTTATATTGTTAAAATGGTTTGCACCTACACCCCCTGCATTTGAGGAATGGTGGATGAATGTTAGTTCTAACGTTATGAAAGAGAAACATATCCTGAAGCAGCGAGGTACTCCCTTCAAATTTAATAAGATCCAGGATCCATGGCTTAACCTCCTTGGTTCATAACTATGGTCTCTGTTTGGAGGAATTATTATTATTATTATAAAGGACGTATATAGTGCCAACAGTTTGCTCAGCGCTTTACATTATGGAGGGAGACAGTACAGTAACAATACAGTTCAATACAAGAGGGATTAGAGGGCCCTGCTCTTTGGAGCTTACAATCTAGGAGGGAGGGGCTAGTGGTACAAGAGGTAATTAGCTGTGGGGGATGGGGTGGTAGGAGGAGTAGTGGATTCCAGTATTAGCTGGGGTCGAGGTAGGCTTCCCTGATGAGATGGGTTTTCAGAGTGCGCCTAAAGGTGAGCAGAGTAGGTAATAGCCTGAGGTAGGGAGTTCCAGAGGATGGGTGAAGCCCTTGAGAAATCCTGGAGATGAGCATGGGAGGAGGAGACAAGGGAGCTAGAGAGTAGGAGGTCTTGCGAGGAACAGAGAGTACGGTTTGGGTGGTATTTAGAGACAAGGTCGGTGATGTAATTAGGGGCAGTGTTATGAATGGCTTTATACGTCAGTGTTAGTGTTTTGAATTTTATCCGTTGGGCAATTGGAAGCCAGTGGAGGGATTGGCAGAGAGGGGTGGCAGATACAGAATGGTTAGTAAGGTGAATGAGTCTGGCAGCAGCATTCATGATGGACTGTAGTGGGGATAGCCTGCGGTGAGGTAGGCCAATGAGGAGGGAGTTACAGTAGTCAAGGCGTGATATATTAAGGTAGTGAATGAGTTGTTTAGTGGTTTCCGAGGTTAGGAATGGTCATATCTTGGAGATGTTGCGAAGGTGAAGTCTACATGAGTTTGTCAGTGATTGGACCTGGGGCTGGAAGGACAGATTGGAGTCTAGGATTACACCTAGTACCCTGGCGTGAGGGGTGAGGCTGATGGTAGTGTTGTTGATCTTGATGGAGAAGTCAGGGGGGGGGGCACGTGCTGGGGGGAATACTAGAAGCTCAGTTTTGGAAAGGTTGAGTTTGAGGAAGTGGAGTAAACATCCAGTCCGATATGTCACCTTGTAGGCTGGTGATGCGATTGGAGACTGAAGGGGTGAGGTGAGGGGTAGAGAGATAGATTTGTGTGTCATCGGCATAGAGATGGTAGTTGAAGCCGTGGGAGTTTATCAATTGTCCAAGAGAGGAGGTGTAGATGGAGAAGAGGAGGGGTCCGAGGACAGAGCCTTGAGGGACCCCGACAGAGAGAGGGAGTGAAGGGGAGGTGGCAGCGTTATAGGTAACACTGAAGGAGCACTGCGATATATAGGAGGAGAACCAGGAGAGAGCGGAGTCTCTGAGGCCAAGAGAGTGCAGTTTTTTTGAGAGGAGGAGGGGGTGGGTCAACCGTGTCAAAAGCCACAGAGAGGTCAAGCAGTAGGAGTATAGTATAGTGGCCCTTGGTTTTGGCGGTTAGTAGGTCATTGGTGAGTTTGAGTAGGGCAGTTTCGGTGTAGTGTAGGGGGCGGAAGCCGGACTGTAAAGGGTTGAGAAGGTTGTTGTCGGTGAGATAGGAGCTCAGGCGATTGTAGACTAAGCGTTCTAGGAGTTTAGAGGTAAATGGCAGTAGGGAGATGGGTCTTAGGTTGTTCAGGTCGGAGGGGTCCAGGGAGGGTTTCTTACGTATAGGAGTGATGTGCGCGTGCTTTAGAGGGGAGGGGAAGGATTGAAGATGTGAGTGAGGGAGCATAGGATGGAAGAGGAGGGGGACCGCAGGAGTTGTGAGGGGACAGGGTCCAGGGGGCAGGTGGTGAGGCGGGCTTCAGAGAAAATCTTAGTGACCTCTTCGGTGGCAGTGAGGTCAAGGGAGCAAAGTGTTGAGGGGGGTTATTGTGTGAGGAGTGCTAAGTGGGGTGAATGTCTGAGCAGTGGCGAAGTCCCTATGAATTGCGTCAATCTTGTTTTTGCAGTGGTTGGCAATCTCGTGGGCGGTAAGTGAGGTACTGGGTGGAGGTGGAGGCAGAGAAAGTAGAGAGTTAAAAGTGGAGAAGAGCCAGCGAGAACTGGAGGAGAAGGTACAAATGAGGGTAATAAAGTAGGCTTGTTTGGCAGCGTGAAGGGAGGAAGTGTACGTTAGGAAGGCAGATTTATAGCAGGTGTGATTGCTTGTTGGGATTTGGTTTTACGCTATAGTTGATCCAGCGCACGACTATGTCGTTTGAGGTTTCTGGTGTGGTTGGTCTGCCAGGGTTGTGTAGCGGTTGGGGCCTAATTCTTCGTGTTGTTGGGGGTGCGAGCAAGTCTAGAGCGGCTGAAAGCGAGTTGTTGTAGACAGCAGTGGCCAGGTCAAGGCAGGACAGGGGATGGATGCTGTCGTAAAGTTGGTCAGTTGCAGAGTGGAAGGGAGCAGGGTTCCAGTTCCGGAGGTTTCTGCAGGTGATTGTTTGCCGTTTGGAGGGATAGGTGTTTGAGGACAAGGAGACGAAGAAGGTGATGAGGTTGTGATCGGAGAGAGGAAAGGGGGTGTTTGTGAGGTTGCAGGGAGTGCAAAGGTGAGAAGACAAGGTCAAGAGTGTTCCCGTCAGAGTGGGTGGAGGACTGTATGCACTATGCTAGTGCAAAAGAAAAGGTTATGTGGAGGAGTTGGGATGTAGCCGGGTTAATGATGTTGATAGGGATGTTGAAGTCTCCAAGAATGATAGTGGGTAGCTCAGAGGAGAGAAAGAAGGAGAGAAAGAAGGATAGCCAGGCGGCGAAGTCGTCAAGAAAGCGGGACACGGGTCCAGGAGGCCGATAGATCACTGCAATCCTCAGAAGGATTGAAGAGAATAGCCGGATGCAGTTGGTCTCGAAGGAGGAGAAGGATAGAGAGGAAGGGTTAGGAAGGACTTGGAAGGTGCTCAGTGGTGACAGGAGCAAACAAACCCCACCACCTTTCCGACCACTGGGTCTGGGTGAGTGGGTCCAGATGAGACCTCCATAGGAGATTGCTGCGGGTGAGGCAGAGTCTGTTGCTTGGACCCAGGTTTCGGTGATCTCTAGGCGGTTAAGGGAGCGGAGAGACAAAGAGGTCATAGATGGAGGTGAGCTTGTTGCAGACTGAGCGGGCGTTCCAGAGTGCGCATGAGAACGGGAGGGTGGGTTTGGGGAGCAGGGGGACAGATATAAGATTGAGGGGGTTGCGGCAGTTTATGGAAGAGAGAGGATGTCTTGTGTGTGGGCGAGGTAGTGGAGGACCAGGGTTTGGGGAGATATCCCCAGAGGTTAGGAGAAGAAGAAGGGTGAGAAAGGTGGCATAGGAGCGGGATGTATATGAGCGCGTATGTCTTCCAGTTCTGGTGTTTGGGTCAGCAGGAGAGTGGAGTATCAGGAGGAGGTGATGAGAGCAGTAGTAGGGAGATGGAAGCAGTGAAGGTGAGATGTAGAGTTGTTTGGGTGGAGCAGAGGGACAGAGATTTTGGGGGCGCAGGAGAGGAATATGAAAAGAAGGAGTAGAGGAGGCATTTCCAAAGGAATGTTGTTACTAGAGTAAGAGAATTATATGGTAGGAAGGCAGGACTGATGTGATCATGACTTTTTTTTTTTGCTTGTGAGCTTTATACTGTATTGGTCTCTAAACTATATTTTTGAGAGTTGCATAAATGTTCTATGTATAGTATACCTCACTTTAGATATGGCCAATCTAAGTAAGATAGGTATAAAACTGATATATTCTCTTCCATTGCTATATATCAGCTTTGATGCCTTGGAGTGCTGTGTAGGTACTATTTTTTGCTCGGAATTTATCTGATACTGTGTGTGTAAGAATATTATAGTCTTTTGGGGGGAGTCACATGTCAGTTTGTATAATTTTTTTTTTTTTGTTAAAAACCACTTGCCTATCGGGCACTTATATACCCCCTTCGTGCCCAGGCCAGTTTTCAGCTTTCAGTGCTGTCGCACTTTGAATGAAAATTGTACAGTCATGCAACTTTATACTCATATGAATTTTTTTTAAATTTTTCACACAAATAGAGCTTTCTTTTGGTGGCATTTAATCATCACTGGAGGTTTTATTTTTTGCGCTATAAACAAAAAAGAGCAAAAAAATTAAAAAACAAATGTTTTTTTTTTTACTATAAAATTTTGCAAACAGGTAATTTTTCCCCTTCACTAATGTGCGATGATGAGGCTGCCGTCATAGCTAGCACTAATGGGCACTGATAGGCAGCACTGATGGGCACTGATGAGGTGGCATGGATAGGCAGGACTGATGAGGTGCCACTGGTGAGGCGGCACTGGTGGTCATTGATGAGGAGTCACTGATGATGCTGCATTGATAGGTGGCACTGATGGGCACTGATTGGTGGCACTGATGGGCGGCGCTGACTGGCGGCACTGACTGACAGCTCTGACTGGCAGTACTGAGTGATGGCACTGGCTGGAGACACTGATGGGCACTGATAGGTGACACTGATGGGCACTGATGGGAAGTACTGCTGGGCACTGGTGGGTGGCACTGGTGGGTGGCACTGCTGGGCATTGGTGGGTGGCACTGCTTGGTGGAACTGCAAGACACTGATCATTAGGGCACTGATCATCAGTGCCCTGATGATCAGTGGTGATCTCCTCTGTGACAGCTGCTGGTTATCGGAAGCACTGATAGGTGGCACTGCTGGGGGCACTGATGGGAGGCACTGCTGGGCACTGATGGGTGGCACAGGTGGGTGGCACTGCTGGGCACTAGTGGGTGGCACTGCTGGGAAGTACTGCTGGGTACTGTTGGGTGGTACTGCAGGGCAGTTATCATCAGGGCACTTATCATCAGTGCCCTGATGATCAGTAGCGATCTCCTCTGTGACAGCTGCCGGTTATCGGCAGTACTTTCTTCGCGCTGTCACAGCGTGAGCGTGAGAAAGTGCTGCCGATAACCGGCAATTGTATTTATTCTATGATCTGCTGTGTCATTGGACACAGCTGATCATGTGCTAAAAGCTGCTGTGATTGGCCTTTTACTTCATTACGTGATCAATTGTGTCCGTAGGACATAGAGATCACCGGGTGCTCACCACTGGGGGCGTGCGAGAGGGCGTGTTCTGGGAGGACGTTGCATGAAACCCTCCCAAAACTGGATAACCACTCTGTAGTCGTCATTTGGCTATAGCACAGTTATCAATTGGTTACGTTGGTTTGGCTTTGTGGATTGTAAACGGTTAAAAACTCCAATGAAAAAGTAATCGCAAAAATAAAATATGTTAAAAGAGACTTTACATGAGCTCATTTGCACTACTGTCCTATTTTTTTGTAACTTTTTTTATTACTCTTTTCATTTTTATTTTTTTTTGTAACTTTTTTTTTTACTTCTTGCATTTTTTATTTGAGATTTGAACATAACAAAGGTACAGGGTAGGCGTTATGTACGCCAAACAGTATCAAGTAGTAAAACAGTAAGGTAATATATTTTTCTTGATACAATAACAGCAAGTTCCTTATATAATAGTTAATACTGTGGTATAAGCAGTAGGGAATGGAATAGTGCAAGCTATTGTCAACAAAACAATGAATATTAAATATAAGTGTACTATGTGAAGGGAAAGGATTTTTGTACTTAGAAACATGGAGCGCTTTGTATTATTCCATGTGGTGAGTATGTTACACCTCTTGACTCTTGACACCTAAGGAGTTCTGGAGATTGTATATAAGTCTTGCGTAAAAGTTAGAAGGTTATTGTGCAGTTGGGGTGGTTCAACCAGATATGCATTGTTTCCAATAAGATGTGAGTTTGCCATTTTTGATGTCACACATCATTTCAAATTGTGTTTTTATGTTTAAATGCTAGAGGAAAAGAGATCGATCTGGTGGAATTGGTTGTTTCCAGGCAGAGGCTTATGTTCTTCTGGCTGTGATAATACCATGTTTGAGGAAAGGAATTTGAGTTATTGCCCAGTTTTAGTGGTGTAGTAAAAACAATGTTGTGGCAAGTTTACAGTCTATGCCAGGAGTGTATTTACCACAAGGCATTTGCCTAGGGTGGCATTTTTCAGGGGGGGCAGCACTGCCCCTCAGCTGAAGGGACAGAAGAAGGGACCTGGCGGATTCAGAGAGAGGCTGCGGGTTACATGACGGTGGATGTACAGCCCGACATTCATTCCCAGGGACGTCTAGAGCTGTGAAGGTGAGTGTCTTTCTCTCTCGCCATGGGGGATGGTGGCTGATGTATGGGGGCAGTGGTAGTGGAAGGCTCTCTCGGGTGGGAGGCAGGGGTGCTGTTCGTCAATGTCTCTGCGGGGGGTGCCGATTTTTTGTGTTGCCTAGGGCAGCACAAAACCTAAATGCACCACTGGTCTATGCTAATTTTTGATATGGAGGATAAGAAGGCGAAGACATATTCCCAAAAAGGTAACACCTCAGGGCAGGTTCACCGCATGTGTAGTATAACTCCATGGATTCCACATTGTCTCCACCAAGTAGGGGACATAGATGGGAAAATTTTTACCAATCTGGCAGGTGTATAGTACTATCTATTCTATACTATACACCTGGTTACTAGCGGTTAACACAGTTCAAAGTGAACATAAGTAATTTTGAGGCTTTTTGCCATTGAGATGTTGTGAATTGTAGTGATAGCTCAGTTTCACAGGTTTCCATGGAAGAGGTTTTGTTAGGAAGATGATTTTGATTGCTAATACTATAGAAGAACGAAATACCCTTGCTCTTAGAAGTGGTGTCAGTACTGTGCTTCTTACCTGCACATCTGCACAATTTGACCTGTGTTTGCTGTATGCCTTGAGGTGTAAAGTCATTTTATGTCTCTGGAACTGTAGGTGATATATACACTATCTATCTCTCTGCCAGGGTGAAAAAGTATTATTTAATTTGTTAATTTTTTAATCAGTGTGATCATTGTTATTTCTTTTTATAGCACCCACAAAATAAACCATGGTTTAAAGGTTAAGAAATCCCAAAGTAAAAATTGTTTGTCTTGGGCCCTTGGTGTCAGTAAATACGTATGGATGAGTGTTTTAAAGGGAATCTGATTTGTACCTTGGACAGTAGGCTCTGTTCTGCTGTGAAACCAGGTGGGCTGTTACAATGCTGTGTTTCATATTACTCACTAAATTTAGACTTCCATGGCAATGTTTTGATAGCAGGTATGTGCTTTGAACAGTAAAATTACAGCCTCTTATGCCAACAATAGTTGACCTAAATTTGTACTTTAGTAGCACTTCCACAGATTCTTTTTTTCTGCAGTGCAATGTGCAGTGGGTATATAGTCTTTTTTCATTACAGATGTTTACTAGGGCAGAAAGGAATAGTGAAGGCTTTCCCACTGGCCATCAATGTAATAAAGTATAGCCAATGACCACTGTTGTAGTGGGAACTGTTACACTGACCAACAATATATAGGGGACATTTACACTGATCACCAATGTAAAAAGAGATTTGTAATCAAGTAGAGGAAAACTGATTACCAGTGTAAAGGAATCTTTAGGAGAGCACTGCCATGTAGTTGGTACTAATGTGAATGAGAAACTCCATGATGGGTATTTGCTGTTAAAGCACATCCTTTATATAATCTACTAAACTGTTTAGCTCACAATGTGCACATCCTATATATAATCTAATAAACTGTTTAGCTCACATTGTGTTCTATCTCCTTTGATTTCAGGAGCTGAAGAGCTTTATCTGTGCTTTTATTTTTTTTTTTTGAACATGTGTAATGTAGTGTGAAATAAATTGGGGTTAATTTACTAAAGGCAAATAGTCTGTGTACTGCAAGTACAGTTGCTCTAGATCTGAGGGGAAGCTCTAAAATGAGCGGAATCTCTGTTGATTTCTATCATGCAATCATGTGCAAGCAAAAATTCTGTTTTTTATTTTCCTTGTATGTGATTTGGTATTCTTTGCAAAGTGAAGCTTTACCCCATTTACTAAGCTCTGGAGCAAGCGCACTTGCAGTGCACAGTATGTTTGCCTTTAGTAAATCAACCCCATTTTGTTTTATCAGAGTGTTCCACTGCTGATTTGAATATGAAGATTGTATATTGTGTAATCTCTCTAAATATATGAGTGGGTACGGGTCCTAATTTTGTTTCCAGAATAATGCAGCAAAAGGCCATTTTTTACTTTTTTGTCTAAATTAATAACGGCTAGAGCAATTAAATTTTAATATAATCCAAAATCCATTTTTGTCTACTTTAAGAATTGTAATAAGGTAGGAAAACTGTGAGACATGCTGGGAATCCATGCTTGCAGCCTACTTACTATGTATCAGATAATACAATACTTTTGATTTCAGGCTTTATTTCCAAAATACTACATAGCTTTGATGAATGCTCATGTTTTCAAGCAACCACACATGTGACCAACTTTAAAAAAAAAAAAAAAAATACTGCTCTCATCTAGTTAAGTGGCTCAAAATTTCAAACACTATGGGGTTGATTTACTAAAACTGGAGAATGCAAAATCTGGTGCAGCTGTGCGTGGTAGCCAGTCAGCGTCTAACCTCAGCTTGTTCAATTAAGCTTTGACTAGAAAATCTGGAACCTGATTGGTTTCTTTGCAGAGCTGCACCAGATTTTGCACTTTCCAGTTTTAGTAAGTCAACCCCAATATGACATAATGCAAGTTCCCTAAAAGGAAGTATATAAATTATCATTTGTCCATGAACAATGTTAAAAATATAGCCTCATGCCCAAATAGTCCAGATGAAATAGAGAAAAACCTCCTGTTAAACCACATGGCTGAAGAATAAATTAGCAATTGCAAAGGCTACAGAACTATTGATGTATGCAAGATCAACAAAATTCAGATGGACAAAATGGAAGGTGCTGCACTGTTGGTTTAGTAGGTCATTGGGATAATGCTGCAATATAACAACAGAGACTACCACAGAATACAAATAAACACATGCAATGTTAACACTGTTGAAAACACTACACTAGGGCATCACCCTTAAGCATTCCTAAGTTTTAAAATGTGATATAGCTGAGAAGAACAAAATCACAGTTTGTGCTTTTTTAACCATGGGAAAATAACACTGAGCAAAAATGAAAAAGTGACCATTTTATTTAACAATAATTTCTTATGATTTCTTATGATAGTTGTATACAGACAGCTGTTACGTGATTTATAATTTTGGAGTGATACCAATGCCCTATTACAGTTGTCTTTGGCAAATAAATACTGATTTTTACATCTTTTGTTTCCTACTTGACTTATAACATTTATAACAGACTATTAATATGGCTGCATTTCTAACTAAGGATACACATTTCTGAAATGCTGATGGAGTTTATTTTTTACATACCTCTCAGCCTTCCAATCTATAGGCTGTAATGTCCTCAAACTCCTCCCACTCAAAATCAACATATTTGAAGTTACAATACAGCACTCACATTTGGCAAGCCTTCATCATTTTGGAGACCGTAATTGTGAATTGCATCTGTTATGCCTTTTAGAATTAATTTCGTACTGGTCATATTCCTTGTAAAGTGAAATTAAACTAAAAAAATGTTGGTAGAGAGGTCAACAGGTTGGCAGGTCCCATTCACATGCACTGGAATGGTGTCTTCATACGTGGCCATTAAAGCGGCTGAACAGACCAAACCCAGACGGAAGACCAGGAGAAGATGGAAGCACCCTTGGCCAGTGGGAGCACTGACATGTCAGCACTGTAGGTCATTGTTTGACAGGTAAGTGTGATATAATGTGCTAATGTGCGGTGCATACTAGCACTATATGGCATAACGTTTATGACAGTC